CATGTGTGCATGCGTGCATGTGTGCATGCGTGCAGGTGTGCATTGCGTTGCAACGTGTGTGCATGCGTGCATGCGTGTTTGTGTGCGTGTGTGCATGCGTGCATGCGTGTGTGTGTGCGTGTGTGCATGCGTGCATGCGTGTGTGTGTGTGTGTGCATGCGTGCATGCGTGTGTGTGTGTGCGTGTGTGCATGCGTGCATGCGTGTGTGTGTGCGTGTGTGCATGCGTGCATGCGTGTGTGTGTGCATGTGTGCATGCGTGTGGTGTGTGCATGCGTGCATGCGTGTGTGTGTGCATGTGTGCATGCGTGTGTGTGTGCGTGTGTGCATGCGTGCATGCGTGTGTGTGTGTGTGTGTGTGCATGCGTGCATGCGTGTGTGTGTTGTGTGTGTGTGTGCATGCGTGCATGCGTGTGTGTGTGTGTGTGTGTGCATGCGTGCATGCGTGTGTGTGTGTGTGTGCATGCGTGCATGCGTGTGTGTGTGTGTGTGTGTGTGTGCATGCGTGTATGCGTGTGTGTGTGTGTGTGCATGCGTGTATGCGTGTGTGTGTGTGTGTGTGTGCATGCGTGCATGCGTGCACGTTGTTCCTGCTGCGTGGGCATCGTGCATATCTGCTTCTCACCTGCCCTGCCAACAGTACTGTGAACCCGTGCAAACTGCACAGGTGAGCCGCATACTCCCTGCCGCCCCATCCCTCTACCCCTCTGCCTTTTCATTCCACCCCTGATTCCTAGCTTCCTGATTTCCACTTTTCCTGATTTGCACTTTCTTTGATGCTAGCTTCTCTGATTCCATGAATCCCTATTTCTCTTTCTGCATTGACATATGATACATATATTGAGTCAAAGTGTTACACATATCAAGCTTCCCGTTATAATCAAACACAAATTTGTATCCTTTCTCCCCCCGCCCAACTGGCTCCCCGCCCCTCTTTCCCCCTCCCTCCCTCCCCCATCAAACTCCCTCCATCCGCACCCCACCCGCCCCTTTTCCCTTCCCCCACCTCCCACGTCTCCAGCAAGGCATGTGCGCGCTTCCCCTACCACACGTGGCAGTGGACTTCCGCCTGCCCCCACAACTCCCCGTACTCCGTTCCCCCCACCTTCCCCCTCCCCCATCTGCAGCAAGGCATGTGCGCCCTGCCCCTGCCCCACGTGGCAGTGGATTTCCGCCTGCCCCCCGCCATCCCCCTCTCTGTGGACCTGGAGGAGAGGGACGATGGGACCTTACCAGTTGCAGCCCGGGAGTTCAAGCCGCGCTACATCCACATCAACTCGAGTGAGTGAGGGGAGGGGACGCATTTTCCTGAAAGTGGCATGGCAAGTGACTGACAGACTTCCGCCTGCCCCCCGCCATCCCCCTCTCTGTGGACTTGGAGGAACGGGATGAGGGCGCTGCACCACTGCCTGCAGCCCATAACTTGAAGCCGCGATACATCCACATCTGCGATACACTCACTCGAGTGAGTGAGGGGAGGGCAGTACAGTTTTGCACCGTGGCCCTGCAGTTCAGTGCTTCACTTGCGTCCACCACCAGACCAGTTTTGGATGATGAGGACATGGCTTGCGACTGCAAGGGCTTGTGGGAGGGTTGTGAATGCCAAGGAGGGCCAATTCCCACCTTGTCATCTGTCGTTTCTGCCCTTCTCTCTTTCCAATCGATGCAGTGCAGACATCCACCTGCCTGCGCCCTCCGCCTGCCATGGACATGAGGCGTGCTCATCCATTGCCATCTTGCTATCTTGCCGCTTCTGTGCTGGTCTCTCTCCCTGCCATGCAGACATACACCTGCCTGCGCCCTCCGCCAGTAATGGTGATGAGGACATGGGGTGGGTGCGACTGCAAGGGCTCTTGGGAGTCTATGTGACAGCAATGCTTGCTCCCTATACCTGCTCACGAACTGCCCTCTCCATTGCCTCCTCTTCTTCCCACGCAGACATACACCTGCGGCCGCCACCAGTGATGGATGACGAGGACATGGGGTGTGCTGGACTGCAAGGCCTCTTGGGAGGAGTCTATGTGGCGCCTTTCCTCTCCCTATACCTGCTCACCAACTGCCCTCTTCATTGCCTCCCCCCCTTCCCATGCAGACATACACCTGCGGCCTCCGCCAGTGATGGATGACGAGGACATGGGGTGCGATTGTAAAGGGGGGAGCAACACCGCGTGTGGGGACGACTGCATGTGCCGGTGAGTCCAACACAGTCTCTTATGGGTTTCATTTCATTCATTTTCCAGTTCACTCATCTCAATTCATTTCATTGCACTTCGTCGCGCCTCGCTTCATTTAATTCCGCTTCGTTCTATTCCACTTCGGCTGGGTGTGCCTTGCCTTGTCTTGCCATGGCAGGGCGCAATACCTGAGCTGCACCAATCGCTGTGGGTGCCACGGGGGGTGCTGCAACAGGCCCTTCAGTCGCCCAAAGAGGCTTGATATCGTGCAAGTGAGTGGCAGCTCCGTTCTCTTCATCTCCTTCGTTTTCAGACATGTTCTATCCTGGGCGTTTCGGAAAATGGTGCTCTCTATGCCCCACCACCCCCTTCAACTGCGTCCCACCACTGAGTTGCATACCCACCACCCCTTCACCATCCCAAACGTCCCAACCCCCCTCCTACACCCACTCTACCCCCCCCCACTCCCCCTCCTCGCTCTCTCCCCCCCACCTCCCCCCCTACTCCCCCGCTCTTCCGTCATCCCCCCATGCAATAAACCGCGCTTCCACTGCACGCCAGACGCAGCGCTGTGGGTGGGGAGCCATGGCAGCAGAGCCCATCAAGGCGGGCGAGTTCATTGTTGAATACGCCGGTGAAGGTGGGTTGAGAGGGGTGAAGTGTGTTTTGGATGGTTTGGGAAAGATGGGTCCACCTAGTTAAAGCATATTATGGTCCTCCAACTGTGTCAACATGCACCCACATTCCCTTGTCTTCTCAGCCTCCCTCCTCCCTCCCACACTTATGTGTGAGACGCCATTTTCTTAGGCATCTAAGAACCTTCCTGTTCTTCCTCCTCCCACAGTGATTGACGATGCGATGTGTGAGGCACGATTATGGGGCATGCGGGCAGGGGGAGCAACGGATTTCTACATGTGTGAAGTGAGCCGCGGCGTGGTTATCAACGCCACCCTGTTCTGAGCTGTCTCCGCCTTCCTCCCCCTCTCTCTTACCCCACCAGTAATTGACGATGCGATGTGCGAAGCCCGGTTGGGCCATGCGGGCGGGGGGGAGCAACGGATTTCTACATCTGTGAAGTGAGCCGCGACGTGGTTATCGATGCCACCTTCCGTGGGGGGCACGGCCGCTTCGTCAACCACAGCTGCGCCCCTAACGCCGAGCTGCAGAAGTGGTGAGAGAGAGAGGGGCAGACTTGTGATGAGAGAATCCAGAATACTGGTGTGATGGAGTGCCTTGAGTTCACTGGAAAGCATTGTCAACCACAGCTGCGCCCCTAACGCCGAGCTGCAGAAGTGGTGAGAGAGAGAGAGGGCAGACTTGTGATGAGAGAATCCAGAATACTGGTGTGATGGAGTGCCTTGAGTTCACTGGAAAGCATTGTCAACCACAGCTGCGCCCCTAACGCCGAGCTGCAGAAGTGGTGAGAGAGAGAGAGGGCAGACTTGTGTGAGAGAATCCAGAATACTGGTGTGATGGAGTGCCTTGAGTTCACTGGAAAGCATTGTCAACCACAGCTGCGCCCCAACGCCGAGCTGCAGAAGTGGTGAGAGAGAGGAGAAGGGCAGACTTGGATGAGAGAATCCAGAATACTGTGTGATGGAGTGCTTGAGTTCACTGGAAAGCATTGTCAACCACAGCTGCGCTTCCCAACGCGAGAGCTGCAGAAGTGGTGAGAGAGAGGAGAATGGTGGAGAATACAGTAGGCAGAGTGAGATACAGAAGGAGTGGTGAGAGAATGATAAGCCCTCTGCCATCTTGGCTTCTGCCCTCTGGTCTCCCCTGTTCGGTGGTAACGGCCCATGCGAGAGTGGGCATTTTTTGCCAGCTAGGACCAACCCTGCATACTGCCCACCATCTCCAGGGCATGGCAAGCGGGCATTGTTTGCCATTTAGTAGCAACTCGGCGACTTTCACGTCTGCGTGTTTGCACGTGTCTCTCCCATCCAGGCTAGTGGAGGGGCATGTGCGGGTGGGCATTTTTTGAGTCGACTCAAAACTAGGCATGTTTCCCGTCTCTACCTCTCCCATCCAGGCTAGTGGAGGGGCATGTGCGGGTGGGCATTTTTTGAGTCGACTCAAAACTAGGCATGTTTCCCGTCTCTACCTCTCCCATCCAGGCTAGTGGAGGGGCATGTGCGGGTGGGCATTTTTTGAGTCGACTCAAAACTAGGCATGTTTCCCGTCTCTACCTCTCCCATCCAGGCTAGTGGAGGGGCATGTGCAGGTGGGCATTTTCGCCATCAAGGACATTGCAGTGGGCACAGAAGTGGCGTATGATTACAGGTGCTGTGATTGGGGGGGGTGGGCGGGTGTCTGGGATGCTGGTATTAAAACATTAATCTGCACAAAGAAAACTGTGTGCTGTATAAGTGACAGGGTTGACTTTTTGCTCTGTAAAATGCAACTTTCTCACCTCACTTCACGACGAATACTTGTGAGAAGCCATGCTCACAGCTTCATATGGTATGTTCCCGCCTCTCATCCCGTTCCCCCTTGAGCACTGTTAGAGTGCTCGCACAGCTTTTTGGGTATCACTTTTGAGAATCCTCAGAAGTCAATGTTTACATGAGAATTTGAGAATCCTCAAAAGTCAATGTTTCCTTGAGAAGTCATTCACACCTTTTCTCACCTCTCACCCCATTCCTCCTTGAACACTCTTGCGGTGTTCACACAGATTTGTGAGCTTCGGCCCGAACAAAGCTTGCCAGTGCGGTGCAGAGCGGTGCCGAGGAGTTATCGGGGCCAACCCTCCAACCACAGCAACAGCCACTCCTGCCGCACCTGCGCCTGCCAAACCAGAGAGGCAGGCTGGGACTGTACCTAGGGCGAAGCCCTGGAATAAAGCGGCAGGGGAAGGGGCAGGGGCGAGAACAAAGGGGTTGCTTTGGGGCACAAGGGGTGCGAGATCAAGACGTATGTTGACGCATCTGTCTCCCCCCTGGTGGCAGCAGCACCAGCAGCAGTGGCTGCTACACCACCTCGTAACGTGACACAGTAACGCGATTCGTTACATTCTTTTATTAATCCATGCAAAGTTTCTAAGATTGCGACTCGGTTTGTGACACAGTACCGCGATTCGCTGCATTCTTTTAACTATTATCAGTGTTGCTGGCAGTTTCATTTTCCCACAGGACCAAAGTAAGTGTACGGTAAAATCTGCAGACTTACCATTGACCGTCTCTCGATACACTGGCTGCACGAAAAAGGTTTCCGAGCTGAGGTTTGAGTCGACTCTCTCAAATCATAGGTAGATCCAAAGAGACTGCCTCCTTTCCTCGCACCCAACTTTGTTGTGCCATTAGCTAGAAACGGCGGTCCTTTCCTTGGTGACAAGGAACCTCCTCCTCGGATTAAATAAAAGCATATAAAGGATACAAAGGTGAGCAAATTAGAGCGCGAGTTAGTTAGTTCCTAGACGGATCTAGCACCTATTTGGCAGCACTACCGCCAGCCGCCCCAACACGCAAACGAGTATCTGAAATCATGCCACAGAGTTAGTTGCTTAGTTTGGAATACATTTCACGCAAGGTGAAGGTGCGTGCATTTCAGCAGCACAGCCACTGAAGGGAAGCTACCAAGGCTGCTGCTGATGCGCTCACTCATGAATGATGCGTCATCACATCATGCTGCTTCAAACCAGGATGTTGCTGGTGCGGCTGGTGGTGGTAGTGGTGGTGGTGGTAGTGGGGATTCCCATGTTTTCACAAATGGCAATGTGTTTCAGCCGTGGTAGGCCGGCAGGCTGCCTGAATAGCAGCCCATTATTCTCCTCTCCCCTTCCCCCTCTCCCCATCCCCTCCTCCTTTCCCCCGTCCTTCAGTTCCCCAGCTCTACTTGCCCCACAGGTTCTCCAGCCATCCTCCTTTCTTCACTGACTTGGGAGGTGAGGCAGATGCGTCAGCTGCACTCATTGGTTCTTGTGCTGCTTGCGGTGGTGCTTGAGCCGCTGCTGCATCTGGACATGGGAGGCAGGGGTGGGAGGAGGGGAGAAAGAGATTTGAGATGTCTCGGAAGGGATGGGATGGGAGGACGAGGAAGAGAGAGGGACAGCCGGTGACCGCATGTCGTCCAGTCGTGAGATTACTTTTGAGCAGATTGAAAAGTCACCAAGACCCTCCCTCCCATGAGCCATCACCATCCCATGATCCACCCACATGCCAACCATACTGCACCCAGCCCATCACACCACCAACATCTAGTCATCCCACTCACCCATGCCACGTTCCTCCTCCTGCGTCGCCATTCTTTGATCCTCCTCCTGCCTCTCCATGCTTCGATGCTCCCCCCTCTCCATGCTCATTGTTGCCTGACTCTGCTCCTCGTCCGTCTCCCAAATCGGCCCTCCTCCCCCTCCCTTCCCTCCTCTCTCTTCTCCCACTCCTCCCTCTCCTCCGCTCTCTCCCTCTCTTTGCCCCTCACTCTGCCCACTATCACTGGGCGACCTCACAGGGGCTAGTTTCCCGCGTAGTTCCCACTCCCACTGACCTGACTCCCCATATTCCCACTCCCCATGTTCCCACTCCCAAGCCCTCCACTCAGCCCCCCACTCCCCAATCTGCCGCCCACCCCGCCCCCACTTCCTAGTCTGCCGCCCAGCCCGCTCCCCCCAGCCCCATGTAACATCGCGCCGTGGTTACCACTCCCGCCATATGCACTACTGCCGTACCCATCACTCCCATAGTTCCCACTCCCCAAGGCATGCCCCTTGGCATAGTTCCCACTCCCATATGCCTCACTCCCGTAATTCCCACTCCCATACGCCTCCTCTCCCCGATAATTCCCACTCCCTTGCTCCCCCGCAAGATTACTCCTCCCCAGCCTCGCCCCATAATCCCCTCCCCCCCCCACACCACCCCCCCCATAGTTCCCACTCCCTAACCTCCCCCCGAAGCTCCCGCTCCCATAGGCCCCACTCCCAGTGGCACCAGAACTGCCGGCTAGCCTGCTAGCTGCCGGCTGGAACATCCTCCTGGAAGGAAACCTGCCGGCTGCTTCGGCCAGAGGTGCGGGGAGGGAAGGCGGAAGGGCCAGTGGCGGCGCTGGTGTGGTCTTGAGACTGGGATGCAGGGGAGGGTGCTGGGGACTGCTGCTGCCTGCTGCTGGTGCTGGTGTCTGTATAAGGGTGGGAGGGCGTTATGTGTGTTGAGTTGATCAACATTGTCCTCCTCCTCTTCCTCTTCCTCCTCTTCCTCCTCCTCTTCCTCTTCCTCCCCTTCCCCCTCGGTTCCCTCCTCCGTTTCCTCCTCTTCTTCCTCTTCCTCTTCTTCCTCCTCCTCGTCCTCCTCATCCTCCTCTTCTTCCTCCTCCTCCTCTTCTCCTCCTCCTTCCTCCTCTTCCTCCTCATCCTCCTCCTCTTCCTCTTCCTCCTCCTCCCTCTTCCCAGTTTCTTCTGTCTCGCCAGTCATTCCTGTTTCCTCTGTTTCCCCCAGTACCTTCTGTTCCCTCGGTTTCCTCTTCTGTCTCCCCTTCTGTTTCTCCCCTCCGTTTCTCCCTCTGTCTCTCCCTCTGTCTCTTCTGCCTCCCCAGTTCACCTCCTCACTCCCTTCCTCTGTCACTTCCCCTGTTCCCTCCTCCTCCTCACTCCCCTCCTCGCTCCCTTCCTCTGTCACTTCGTCTGTCACTTCCTCTGTTCCCTCCTCCTCACTCCCCTCCTCACTCCCCTCCTCACTCCCTTCCTCTGTCACTTCTTCTGTCACTTCCTCTGTTTCCTCCCCTCACTCCCCTCCTCACTCCCCTCCTCGCTCTCCTCCCCTTCCCCCTCACCAGTCTCACCAGTCTCACCAGTTACTTCTGTCCCATGACTTCTCCAGCTCGCCCCCTTGCACCCCTCCTTTCCCCAATGCCTCTACTCCCTTCCTGCTCCTCCCGAGCCTCTAGCTTCGGTTCGAGGCTCAGCTCTGGAACGAGGTCCGGGCGCCCATGCCTACTGTGGCCCTTCCCCCCTCTCACTCATCTCTCGTTTCCCCCTTCAGCCTCCCTGTGTCCAGCCCCCACTCCCTCGCTCCCTTCTCGCCCCTCACCCGAACCTGCATTTTCCCGAATCTGCAGCGCCTGCACCCGAACCTGCCCCGGACCTGCTCCGCCCGCCGAACCTGTCCCACCTCTTCCGCTCCCTCGACCCTGCATCGAGCCAAGAAAACCCACCATACAACGCCGGACCTTGGAGCCAACTTTTGAGGCTCGGCCTTTACCCGAGGCAAAGGGGAGGATCGGTAAGGAAGGTACCCTGAGCTATGGTCACTCATATCCAAATAACTCCCCTCATACCTCCCACTGAAGCCACTCCTTTTGCTGCTCGCCCATCCCCGTCCCCACCCGCCCCCGTCCCCACCATTATCCTCCTCATTGTCCTCCTCATTATCCCCTTCAGTGTAAACCGCTCGCACTGCTGCCGCTCCTACTCAGCCTCCCGCTTGCTACCCCGATCCAGCCCGTCCAAACCTGGCGAGTTGCCTCGGGAATTGCCTTGGGAGTCGCCTTGGGAGTGCCTGGGAGTTGCCTTGGAGTTGCCTTGGAATTCCCCTGCGAGCCCCCTGAACTGCGAGGAGTGTGGGGAGTGGGACGAGCCTGCAGCTTGCTGCCCACTCCAGAATCCGCTGCTGTATCGCATTCAACCCACCCCGCACCGTCTGCACCATTACCAGCACCCACAGCAACACCTGCACCTGCAGCAGCAGCGGCAACACCATCCGGATCGGGCTCAACTCTACTGCTGCTGTGGCCATTCACCCCACTCCCTCCCGGCCATTCCTTAGTGTTGACCCTACTGGTATGAGGACTGGTTGCGCCTGCTAGGGTGGGGACTCGCATGTCCTACTAGGGTGGGGGCTGACATGTGGGCTGGCTCGCGGACTAGGCCCAACGCCCCAACCCCTCTCTCTCCAGCGGGTCTTAGCGCTGCCTTCCAGTCAACAGTGTTTTGCCGGCTGTTGCTCTCCGGCTGACTGCTAGCCAGCGGGCCTGCCGGCCGCAGGTGGCGCGCGCCAGTTCGGATCGCTCTGGTCAGTGCTCCCAGTGGCCAGCCCGCGCGGAAGAGTCAATGTGTCTCAGAGGGACGGACGGGGCTTCGAGTGGCAATTACCACCGCCTCCTCCTCCTCTCCTGCTCCTGCGCCTCCTGTTTCGTGTAGAGACGGCCATTCTTGGGTGTTCTGCCTGCTGCCTGGTCGGCTGCTCGGTCTGCTTCCCGCCTGCTGCTGCTTCTGGATTGAAGCGGGTGTGGGCCACTCTTGAGTGTTCTGCCTGCTGCCCTGCCTGCTCCCCTGTGGCTGCGGCTGAGCCGACTGAGGAGCCGGGCCACTCTTGGGTGTTCTGCCTGCTCCCCGCTCTGCTCCCCTGTTGCTGCTGCTGGAACCGACTGAGGAGCCGGCCACTCTTGGGTGTTCTGCTACTGCCTGCTCTGCTCCCCTGCTGTTGCTGCTGCTGGGCCGACTGAGGAGTGGGCCATTCATTCGTGTTCTGCCTGCTGCCTGCTCTGCTCCCCTGCTGCTGCTGCTGTACTGACTGAGGGGCAGGGCCATTCGTTTGTGTTCTGCCTGGCTGCCTCGCCTGCTCCCACCCCACATACCCCCGCCATCACCAGCAGCACCACCAGCTCCCATCTCGCGGTTGAAACTCCCAGCTTGCTGCATGCGAATAGCAGCAGCAGAGGCACCACCGCCTGCGCCGCCACCACGGCTGCTGCCGCTGCAATCGCAGCGTACCCCGCCTCTCTCCCTCCACCCCTCCTCTCCCTCTGTGCTGCTTCCCTCTCCCTCTGTCTCTCCCTCTGTCTCTCCCTCTGTCTCTTCCTCTGTCTCTGCCTCTTCTTGTGACGAGCCCTGTTCTC